CTCATTCTGAAAAACTGCTGAATTGTTCATCAGTCTGAGGCATACCCCTGCCATGGAAAACGTCCGTCCAAATGGTTAAAGGTTGGCAAAGTTATGAACAACTGAACACGGGGTTTTACAATAAAGTGTCAGGTAATCTGAGCTATAGGCAACAGCACTAACAGCCCTGCCTCGAATAGAATAGAAAGTGGAGACCAAGCTCAGGAGCCAATTTAGCCCTTATCCTTCTTTTTCCTCTTTCTTTGGATTCCTTGACTAAGAGCCGGGGGTGGGGTGGATGGCTGGGAGTTGTCAGTCTGTCTGTCTGCCTGGGGTGAACTTTGGTGAGTAGTTGACTATCTCCTTTAAAGCAAAGGATGTTTCACAGCATACAAACAGAGAAGTGAGATAAAACATAAAATACTCTTGCTAGAAAGTTGCAACATGACACTACTTTATTTCTTAGAATAACACACAAGAACCCAAAACAGAGAGAGAGAGAATGCACTCTGCTCCCTGAACAGAGAGGTACAACTCATCCCCCTTATACTTAGGGTTGTCAACCCCCCCAGATTGGCAGGGAGTCTCCCGGAATTGGCTTCAATCTCCCGGTGACTGTTAAAGGCAATCCAGGAGATTTTAATAGGCCAAAGTCCGGTTGGTGGCACAGCAGGGCTAAGGCAGGCTCCCTACCTGCCCTGGGTCTGCGCGGCTCCTGGAAGTGACCAGCACGTCTCTCTAGCTCCTAGGCACAGGGACAGGGCAAGGGTGTTTGGGTTTGTGTGATTAGTCAGTTGGCAACCCTATTTACACTAGGCTGTCTGTCTGCAAACTGCTGAAGACACAAATTGCACACTTCCCTACAGAACTCCCTACCCTGCAAGCAGGACCAGACAACCCCTTAGGGCAGGGGTCTCAAACTCAATTTACATTAGGGCCAGTGCCAGTCCTCAAATTCTCCCAGCGGGCCAATGTCACTCATACTGCCCAGAACCTGCCCCCCAAAAACTCTGCCCTCCAAAAAACTCCACCCCCCACCTGCCTAAGGCTCTGGGATAGAGTTTGGGTCTGGGAGGAGGTCTGGGGTAGGGGATTGGGGTGTAGGCTCTGGGAGGGCGTTTGGGTGCAGAAGGGGTGAGAAGTTGGGCTCTGGGAGGGAGTTTGGGTGTGGGAGGGGGTTTGGGGT